TAGACGATTCCATACAGGCAACTGATCGACTGATTKATGACGACTTCTCAATGTGCTCCAATAGTTGTCATTCGATATTTATCTTCAAACGGGAACACAATCTTAAAAAACCCACGTTTTTTTCCGATATTTCTTGGCAATATCATCCTTCTCTTAAAATAAATATTATGTTTTCTAGTTACTTACTGCGCTTATTACTCTGTCCGCTTTACATCAATGTTATTACTTTTTCTCAGAATGTAGACATTTTTAATTGCAAAATACTGTAGGTCTTTATACTATTTGTATTCCTCGAGCTTGTCTCATTATTTTGAAGTGGAATTAATTCTGTTTGTTCCCTTTTGGTTKATATTTTCCGACAGCAACGTGCTCTGCTATTCATTTTAACAAGCTTTMGAAAACATTTCGCAAATCCTGAAGATAATTCCTTTGACTCCAAACAGCTAATCATTTTATTGAATTTTTGAAGTGCCTAAACACGCGCTAGTCGCCAGCATAACAATAGTTACAATGTACTACGTGTRGGCGGATGCAATTCAAAATCTTCAATTTTTTTATGTGTTTTAATGAATGTACATACTGGTTTTTGCCATCTGACGTCGCCATAGCAATTCTAACCTAGCTACCAATTTTAATGCATTTGATTGAGTTTTGTTCACATTGGTATTTAGTAACAATATAATATTATTCAACTATTGGAGATACCAGGTATCAAGTTCGGAGCCCACCAAGTAAAGCAAGGCTTATACACAACATGATGATGTGCCTATTCCTGAGAGCTTGGAGGGAAATGGGAATGTAATACGCCAAGTGAGCAATTTAAAGTTTTATCATAAGGGACCACGCAATTTCGATCTAGCGATAAACTATGGGCGATCTTCAAGTATTCTTGAACAATCTCCGCGTACAATGTRTGTTTTTCCTTGATATGTCTTTATCTRAGGGCTGCTCTARGCYTAACGGAAATTGATCCGTCCTATTTAGTGGTGTCATCGTACGAAAAGTATGAGTAAATTTGAGACCACCTTTAARAAAAGATTGAGTGTCGATTCAAACTCTTTGAATCGTCGTCTTCTCTCCGGTGGTGATGAACAGAACGAAGTTAAAGCCCCAGAAAAAGATATTTTCAGGTATAGTTATAACCTAGGAAAGCAGAGGCCTGGAAGGATACATCGAACTGCTAGCATCGGAGGGAATCTAACTCAACCGATTGATGGAAACTTAGCGAAGGTCCTCCTTGGTCGTAGAGGGCTGCCTAGGTCACTTAGCATGGAGGAGCAAASTGGACGAACAATACGAGATRTAACGATGCCAGAGWGTACACTTAWGGACAATAATCATCCACRTTTAAGCAAACAACTTTCGATGCATTCAGATKGGGAGCAGAAAGTCGACAATACAAACAAAACYGACGCTGAGGAAATCTCAAGCGCTGAAAAAGACTTATCTTCTAAGGACAGATTAAAAGATTCAACGGAAGCAACCTCGAATGAAATTGTAACTARTAGTGATAAAAATATTATTGAGAAAATTCCAAGAAGGCTTCATCACTCAGACTCTGTCCCAGATCTTAGAGGAGTTGAAACAAATCGCCTAGAGCGCGAAAACTTCACTGGTTTATTYACAACACAGATAGAGACAGCGCAAACGCGTCCTATTTGTAAATTAAGAAGAGCTGCCAGRCGTCTSGGAGTCTCTCTTTCATCCGAAGAYCTTTACCATAAACARCGAAGAAATGGASTTTGCACTGAGATTGACTCCGCTGCAGAGAACAGGAAGTTGCTACGCGTTCTAAACAAGAGATTTTAACAGGCATGTTAGTGTTATRTTGAGGCAGAAAACCATATCARRARRRGKKSMARKKKTTWWTWWTTTT